AACTATTTTTGCATAGACTATAGTACAAAGCAGTGAAAATCATTAACAGGCAATCGTTCGATGGACCGAATTGCACAAAACGCATGGTCGCACCGGATAGTCTGGTGCGCGTTGCCATTTATTCATTGGTGTTATGGTAAAGGATTAAACTGCCGGAACTGATTATCCAGTTTTGAACGTGCAATTTTCCCTGTTCCGTTTTAATGATATGAAATAGTTACAAGTCTAAGAAATTTTTTTTCACGAATTAGGTATGTGTAAGGAAACCTAATTCGTTCAACGTCTGGAAGGCTGACGCAGAATGGTTTACCTTCCGCCACTAGCGTTTTGCACTGCGTTTATTATTTCTAGCCGATTAAGCCTATCCGTCAATGCTATTGCCTTGAAAAAGATGTTCTTGAGGTAATCCGTCATTCCGTGGTGAACTTGCTCTTATCGCCGAATGAAGCATATAAATATGCTTTGTGTTTCTCGGGGTAGCCTTGCTTGTTGTTATCTGACGACCCCGGCCGTGCCATCGTAACTTTGCTACGTTTCCGCGCACCATGTACAGAGAACAGTACAATAGGGATCATAGTCCGCCACAAGGAAGTGCGTCGCTGTACGAACTACCCACGACAAACTTAAAATGCAGAACAAGAAATCGAATTGAAAAGTCCAGTGCACATACTCATTTTTCGCTACTTTTTTATGCGTTTTTGCTGTGCAGCGCTAGAGCGCTGCAACAGTCAGCAAACATGCGTATTTTGTGTGTGCATCTGTGTATATAACTGTGTGTGTCTGTTTCTGTATATATTTGTGTGTGTGTTCGTCTATCCGGGTATTTCAACTCAGCAATCAAACTAGCTTAGGCGCTGAATTTTTTTCAGTGGATTCCCTGGTTAAGTACGATCCCCAAGAACGTTCGTTATACAAACGTATGAGTCTTACGTACGGACATACGGAGATTTTGGCGGGAAAATCGCCAGCTCGAGATTTGGAAAGCTAGAAAGCTGAAATTTAAGAGAATATTCTCCATGTGCATACGGCCGAAAGTTCTCAGATAAAATTTCCTAAGTAGGTTTGGTTTTTACATGCCGGTACGCGATTTGAGGAAAGAAGGGGTCAGAAAGCTCAAGTTTTAAGAAACATTCCATGTCCACATAAAACGCAAAGATTTCAAATTACTTCTCAGTCCGCTTGGGTTTTAAGCACGAACAGATAAAAGTTTTGGCTAAAAAATGCTAACTCGGGGATCAGAAGGCTATCAGGCTTAAATTTTAGGAGGATGTTTTTTGCCAATGTGCGAAAGGCAGCCGGTGTGGCTGGTCGAAGAAATGCACGATAGCATCGGTAAGCCTGATGCATCGCTACCTAAGTTTAAAGAATATTGTAGGATACACTCATACACGTCAAGAGAGAAGCAAACATAAACACATACAAACGCATATGCGCAAACACACACGTAGAGATGTAAAAGGACAGAAACATGTTCCTGCCAAAATCCGTTTCTTATCTAATAAAGCGCATTAAATGATACCGAAAATTGGTAGATTGAGCAATACCAAAGTGATGTTGTAAACAGCGAAGGAAACCAGACATCTTCTTTGCATTTTTTCCAGATGAACATTGCCCGACACCAATTTATGCCTGCATATGCCGACAAGGGCCTGAATTTTTGGATTTCACTGAACAAAACAATGAAAGAAAAAACGGGATTGATCATGAAATTTCGTTACGAATAGGCACGTTCTCGCCGTCGTCGAATAACTTTTGCGTGTTTTAGGTGAAATACTTACTGAACGGCGATTAGCGAGATAAAAGACACATACCAGTTGTAGAAATGCGGTATCCACCGGCTGTTACCTAAGTAGGAGGGGTGTCCAATAGAAGGCTTCTCGAAAAGTAATCACATGCTGAGACACTTACCACAAAAGTAACGATTACCAGAACTGTGGTAAGTCCAACAAGTGCGTAGGCAACGTAGTGATAATAGTCAACATCCTCAAAACTTTGTTGTGCCTCAATAAATGCAATTGCAAACAATGACACCGCGAAGCCGACGACAGCCAAATAAGTCGCAATCAGATGTTTTGCCATATTTCTAGAATACTGCCGCTGTTTATCAAAAATCGCATTATCAAGATAAAAGCGCGGAAAGTTTCGTTCTTTTTTCAAGAAGCGTGCATTGAATTTTTATTTTGAACTGGTACTGCTTTAACATAAAAGTCAAGTCTCAGTTTTTATTCATGCTTGGTACGAGGCTTTTCGCTATCGGTTGGAAGTAACCGGAGAAATGACAAGGACGAAAACGCATATTGTCGAGAGGCTATATGTGTGCGTGTTCGGAAGCGAGTGAACATTGTCACCCACTTTCAACTCAGCAACCAGGAAAGCTGAGGGGCTGAAATTTTGGGGTCATATTCTCATCCCATGTGTCATTCTTTCGCTTTAAAATCCTCGTTCATACGTGCCTAGCTCTTTGCGTACGGCTCTCCGGAAAAGATATCCAGATTTCTTTCGCCGTGACGATTTCGTGATCCAGACAAGATAGAAAGCTGAAACTTTGCAAGGATTTTCTCTATGCATGTATGAGATAAAGATTTCAAATTCGGCTGTCGCGAACATCTACAATACGCTACGATCAAGTCAGATTTCGCCGTTTGCATTGCGTCGACTCAAAAACATAGTCGAGGACGCACTGGCTGCCGGTGCGAAGATGCGTTTTTTGCGCAGTTTCGTTGCTGGTTTTTGTTGCTAATGGCACCGGTTTTCCTAACAGATGCTTTTAGCTAAGAGAATTTATAGCAGCCACCACGACTGTTAGAAATTATTACAATAACCATGCCCACGACTCCCATCCCATGCCCAAAAAAGTTCAGCACTCTAGATACTTCGGTTGCGGAGTTACGTCAAATTTAACACGTTCGTACAGGAGCGGCAACGTGAATGCTGTCTTCGCGTACGATTGCTCTAACACGATCCTGCGCAGCTCTCAGAAAGCTCCATCAATCCAGCTGTTACGGCGATGAGACGACAAGACGATACGATAATGAATTTTCCGCCGATTATTCGGACGGGGGTACGACGAGCTTCGGTTGAGTCTTGGATGACGCCGATGTGCTGTGTGCGCTTAGTGGTGCGACTGACGTAAACCAAACGAACCTTATCAACACCAACACAAGTTTACAGTTGAGTATTCGGGGCGACGGGATCAAGTCGGACAATTGCTGAGACAGCCGCTGCAGACGAAGAATGCGGATCACCGGAGTGCAGCAACACACTGCTGCAGTGGAACTCTGGACGTCAAACACGGAACATGGGGCATGAGACACTGAACGACGATACTGAACACTGAATGATGAACACGGAACACACTGAAATTTACAACAAATTTGCAGGCTTAAATACTTATCACGAAGGGTGGGATAGATCACAGGTCAATCAGCTGCGCGATTCTGGATTGCTCGTTCCTTCTCCTGCGCGTCATCCTTTGCTCGTTGTACACAGGTGCTCCAGTTGCGGAGTCACGTCAAATTTCACGTATTCATATTTGAGTGGCAGCACGTATGCTTTCTTGCGTGTGGTTGCTCAAACACGATCCTAGGCTGCGCTCAGAAAATTTCAGCGCTTTAGCTATTTTGGTCAAGGAGTTACGCTAAATTTCGCGTACATGCACGTGAGAAGTAAATGAGATATGAAAATGAGTCATTTTTGCGTCCATCTGGCCAAAGGCCACGGCCGGTTTTGCTCGAAAGTTCCAGTCCTCTAGCTGCTTCAGTTCTGAAGTTACAAAAGTGCATGCGTGAAATCCTCTAGTGTCCGTAGGTGAGATGCAGAAGGGCTTGAAAACTCAACTTACTTTCACGGGAACAATAGTGGACAACAAATAACGCTACAAAATTGCAATTCTCCACAATTTCTTGGTCAGCTTATATCTGGAGTTGGCATGGTGCCAGTTTAGACTTTGACTTGTGCACATGTGAAACCTAGAAGTGCGCGAAGGCCGACGCTGAAATGTTTGAATTAGACGCTGCCAAGGAACATCTCTGTGAAGCTCCAGCCTCCTAGTTTGCGTCGTTCGCGAAAACGCTTTCCCGCTAAAAAAAACTTTCATGTGCCCGTACGTGAAAAACATGCGGGCCTGAGCGTCCATTTTGAAGACAGGAGCTCGCATACATGTGCAAATTACTTTAATAAAGTTTCAGCCTTGTATCTTTTGTGGATCTAGAGATAAAAACTCGTTACTGACGCACACATGGACACGCATACGTGCACACATATATACACACAGACGCACATGCAGAAAATCTCTTGACAATAGCTTTTTGGCATTAAATAGATGCAAAAAACGCGTAACCTTCCTGAAACAGTGCCTTAAATTTTGTCGAAATATTTGTCATTCGTATAGCAAATCGTATACTTAAAATGACCTTCGATTTTCACTTGCGCCATGACTTAGGAGACTTCAAAGATATTTGTAGCGAAGTGGCTATTCTGCTTACCGGACAAGTTGCGAAGCTGAAGCCTTGCAAGGACATCCTATATTCACGTGTGGTCTTACTTCAGCTTGAAAGTGAAATTCTGTGTACGCGGGCATGACAGACACTCAATTTTACCGTAGACTCAAAAGCGAACGCGCTTTGCGAATTTCATAATCCTTTTCCAATTTTCTTCAAATCTGAATTTTTCCAGTGAGCAGGCACTTGCCAGAACCCAGGCTGAAACTCATCAGGCAAGCCGGTTCGATCATGCGTTTTTGCACAAAACTTGAATTAGGTCAACTGCATGAACGGTTGCTCCTTCACACCTACCTTGTGTGCCTAATGTCGAAAATCATAGTAAATTTTGCATAAAAAGAAATAAACTGTTTCCGTTTAGTGGTATTTTTTGAAAATAACCCAACTGTTCAATGAGTGATTTTCCCGCCAGAAATTTAATTGCTCGTACACGAGAATCACGCATAAATGAAGGTTGAATTTGAAGATTTAAGCCTTATTTGAACGGGGGATATTCTCCAAGTCTGAGCCTCTCAACTTTTCTGGTCCTCGAGTTAGTCATTTACCCGCCAAAAAAGTTTCAAGGGGCCGTACATGAGAACCACGTATTTGATAGGTTTATGCCGTACCTGTGCTTGGAACATTTCCTGAAAATTTCAGCCTTTCAGCTTTTCTGGTATCCGAATTAGTAATTTTCCCTCTAAAACTTTCACACACCCTTACGTGAGTATCACGCGTACCTGAGGGCTGGATCTGAAATATTTAAGTTGTACTTGGGCAGGGAATATTCCCTGGAAATTTCAGCCTTCCAGCTTTCCTGATTGTCGAGTTAGCAATTTTCCCCCCAAAACTTTCATACGC